CTAATCAAATTCTACATAGTATATATACATAACTGATCATATCATCAAATTTTAAAAAATTATATAATTTTTAAATATAAAGAAAAATTAAACAAATCAATAATTAAATATTTGTTTGCTAAAATCATGCGAATAAACATTTTAGATCACATAAATTTCTTATTTTCACATAAAAAATATTCATATTCAAAAAGCAATCTAGCAATTGTAGCACAAAAGATATCTACAAAATTTATCATTAATTCAATTAGTTAATAACTTTTTATTTGGTCAAACAGTTAGTTAATGATTATTCTAAACTTCTTTTTTCTTATTAATTTGACACAATTTTAACAAAATAAATCTTCATCCATGGCAATTTGCATATAATTACTATTATCAAATATTAAATAATTGTTTTATCAAAACATAAACTACATTTTGAGATTATAAACATATAGAATTTCTATTAAGATTAAAACTAAATAACAAGTGGATATATCACATTTAAATGATTTTAACGACTTATTACCAATTTTTAAATAATAAATGGATTATATTTTTATGTTTTAATCTAATTGAAACCAAATAAAATGTCAAATTGGTATGATATAGATGATATAATAAATAAATATCTACAAACATTATCTCACATATACGTACAATTTTAAACTATTCTTGATAAATATAATATATAAGTTTTGGATAACCGGTTGAAAAAAAAAAATTGGTAGTTATATTTAATTCTCTAAATCTCTAAATATTGAACAAAATTCAACTTTGGGACGTATAAATCTCTACTTTTGGACTATTATATGAAATTTTACATATATTAAAATTATATTTAGTTACATGTTAATGGTGTTATTTATTAAAAAAAAACTTATAGGAATGGATATGAGACGGGAACATATAATTTGAAAACAAACATTATCTGAATTATTTCTCATAAAAAACAAAACATGATTAGATGTAATTGTTGAGACACGGTCATAAAGTTAAATTCACTTTTAACTTTCAAATATAAAACTACGAGTACGATACGGGGACATGTAATTTAAATTGCTAAATTTAATTTCCACTTTCCTATTTATTTCAAAAATTTAGACATGAAATGAAGGGTACAAGAAGATAACGTATACTTCGCATAACAAAACTACAATAAATCCATGTATTAAAAAAATAGAAATACCTAAATCTTTAGAAAACAAAAAGGCTAAAACATGAATATTTGAATTGAAGAAAGTAATGAGAAATAAAGATGAAACTGAAAGATCAATAAAATAAAAAAATCGAACAAGGATTTTGTATGCTAGGATTACAGACAGTGTCTTGTGAATGAAAATGGTGGGAGCATGTGACTTAGATTGATAAAAATAAATATTTAAACGAGGAATACGGGTATCCCGTCTAAATCTTTTACCAAGTTTCTTATAATAAACATTGCCAAATGATTATGTTTTAAAAAGAAACGATTATGGGACAGAGATTTTATGACATATAGAAGACGGGACGGGACGGGACGGGGCGGGGTGGGACGGGACGGGTCGGGACGAGACGGAATGGGACAACGGGTTTTCCATTACAAACTACACATAAAGCAATTCAAACTAAAGCCAAACCCAAATCCGATTTAACATGTCTAAGCATTAGTTAGAAATGTTTTGATTAGTTTAAAAAATAAACATGTAATATTACTTATCATTTTCATTTAAATAATTTGAAAATTGTATTATGTAATACAATATCTATATTTTACAACTGTATGTCTATACATAGTTTATCAAATAAACTCATATAGCAAAATTTTACCAAAATATCATCTACTTGAAAAATCGTAAATTTGTAAAAATAACCCCGCACGTACGTGCGGGTCCATCACTAGTGTACTTTAAACACAAACCGGACCAGAACCATTTTTATACTCTTCCCCTCTAAGCCTAAAATTTCGTCAAAGTTTAGGATTAGGATTAGGATTAGGATTAGGATTTAGGATACTATCAATAGTGTAGGTTTTACTTACAAAACTGAAGTCTTGTGGAAGGGTCAATGGTCTATATGTCTAGGAAAATAAAATCTCTCTTTTTCAAATGTTATTTTAGGATTTTATTATTTTAGATTTGATAGTTTAAAAAGATTGAAAAAGAAAATTTTACTTATTATGTTTGGGTTGTTTTTATTTTGAAGATCTAATGTTAGTTATTAAGTGCGTATTTTATTTTAAAAAATCATATACATTTTTTTACGTGGTAAAAAATGACAAGAGTCGACAAATCATTATAAAAATAACAAAATTGACAAAATCATTATAAAAAATGGCAAATCTATGATACTTGGGTGAAAAATGGCATTTTCTACCATACAAGCTATACAACTTACTATTAGAATTTCTTCCTAACTCAAAAAAAAATAAAATAAAAAGGAAAATTTGTGTAAGTTACTAATAATGATAGAGCCCCAAATGTAGGAATTAGGAAATATCAGTTCTATGGAATGAATGTGCCCATTACAGAAGAAGGATGGGCCTAATGGGCTCAGTCGATGAGTTTGAGACTCCAAACCAAAACTGCCACTGATCTTCTCCCTTGTTATTCTGTATTTCAAATCAAGAATTCCTCACACAAAACAAATTTCAACTACATTCAATTCATATACACGAAATTGCTAGGTTCAATATCCCAAACATTTCAAGCTATAGTTAGTGCTCACAGAACATGTTTAACAATGAAAAACACAATTCCAAAAATGACTCTCCTAGGACTCCTAACCCAGTTCGAACACGTTTTATAACTTTTTGGGCAAATGAAAAGAATGTTAGTGCATCATTAATAACTGATTGAATCCTCCTATAGCCAATTTATACACTTTTTACAAAACAAGATAATATAAATTAAATTGATTCTTGCGCAGAAAGTGCTTTCTTACTACTTTTACTTATCAACCGAGAGGCATTAAACACGTTACAACTCACAGAAACTGAATATGGTGATCTCATCTTCTTCTTCTCAAACTGCTCGCAAACGACGTCGTTTCTATAAAGCTACTTCATTTGTTTTAAAAGTCAGCAAAGTTTGAAATTTTATTTGTGTGCCATCCACACAAAAAGCTTCAAACTTTAACAGAGTCAATGGCCGTCTCTTCCGCCATAGTAGTAAGAAACAAAAAAAGCTTTCCTCTTTACACGGAACCCTAAAGAAACAAAGCAAACCCATCATGAAGACGATCTTAATCTTCTTCTTCATCATCTTAATCTCATCTTCTTACGCCGAAGACGACGTGCTCTGTCTCAAAGGTCTTAAAGCATCCCTCACAGATCCTTCAAACCAACTCAGCTCCTGGTCTTTCCCCAATTCATCTTCATCAATCTGCAAACTCGCCGGAGTTTCTTGCTGGAACGCTAAAGAGAATCGTATCATCTCTCTTCAGCTTCAGTCAATGCAACTCTCTGGTCAAATCCCTGAATCTCTCAAGCTATGTCGGAGTTTACAATCTTTAGATCTTTCGGATAACGATTTCTCCGGTTTGATCCCTTCACAAATCTGTTCGTGGCTTCCTTATCTTGTAAATTTAGATCTTTCCGGTAACAAACTCGGTGGTTCGATACCGTCTCAGATCGTTGACTGTAAATTCTTGAATACTTTAGCTCTTAACGAGAACAAGTTAACCGGTTCGATTCCTTCTCAATTAACCCGGTTAAACCGGCTCCGACGACTTTCTCTGGCTGACAACGATCTCTCCGGTTCGATTCCTTCTGAGCTCTCTCATTTCGGAGAAGATGGTTTTCGTGGCAATGGGGGACTTTGCGGTCAGCCTTTATCGAATTGCGGTTCGTTGAACGGTAAGAACTTAACGATCATTGTGATCGCTGGTGTTATTGGGGCGTTTGGGTCAATGTGTGTTGGATTTGGGATGTTTTGGTGGTTCTTTATCAGAGATAGGAGGAACAAGAATGGTTATGGTTATGGTTACGGTTATGGTGCCGGGAAATGTAAGGATGATAGTGATTGGATTGGTTTGTTGAGATCACACAAGCTTGTTCAGGTAACTCTGTTTCAGAAACCACTAGTGAAGATCAAATTGGTTGATCTAATTGTAGCTACTAACAGTTTTGATCCGGGGAATATCGTTGTTTCGTCGAGAACTGGGGTTTCGTACAAAGCTGATTTGGCTGATGGGTCTGTACTTGTGGTTAAGAGGCTTAGTAGTGGTTGTGAGCTTAGTGAGAAACAGTTCAAGACTGAGATGAACAAGTTAGGTCAGGTCAAACATCCGAATTTGGTTCCGCTTCTCGGGTTTTGCGTTGTGGAAGACGAGAGATTGTTGGTGTATAAGCACATGGCTAATGGGACATTGTATTCTCAGTTACAGGATTGTTCTATGGATTGGCCAACTCGGGTTAGAGTCGCTGTTGGAGCGGCTAGAGGGCTAGCTTGGTTGCATCATGGATACCAACCTCCGTATATGCATCAATACATTAGCTCGAATGTGATTCTTCTAGACGAAGATTTCGATGCTCGTGTTATGGATTACGGTTTGGGGAAGCTAGTGAGTTCCCGAGATTCTAACGATAGCTCGTTTAGTAACGGCGAGTTAGGGGAATTTGGTTACGTTGCGCCTGAGTATTCAAGCACAATGGTTGTATCTTTAAATGGAGATGTATATGGGTTTGGGGTTGTGCTTCTTGAGATTGTGACCGGACAAAAGCCTGTTTTGGTTAACAATGGCCAAGAAGGGTTTAAAGAGAGTTTAGTAGATTGGGTGGGTAAGCATTTGAGTAACGGTAGAAGCAAAGATGCAATTGATAGAAGCATATATGGTAAAGGATATGACGATGAGATCATGCAAGTTTTGCGAATCGCGTGTAGCTGTGTTGTATCGAGGCCTAAGGAAAGACCGTTGATGATTCAAGTTTATGAATCTTTGAAGAATTTGGGAGATCAGTATGGTTTCTTCTCTGAGTATAGCGATGAGTTTCCTCTCATCTTTAACAAACAAGAACACTGAGACTAGAGTCTTTGTAAATGAAAGAAAAGGTTTTAACATTTTCTTACTCAAAATTCTTTGCTACTTAATTACTTCTATACCATTGTCACTTTTAATTTAACCTTGTTAATTTGTTGGTTTTTATATATTTTGTGTGCAAATGAAACTGTACATCATATGATGCATAGATGAACGGTTGTAACATATCTAATGGAATGATTTGTTTTGGATTTGTATAGATGGAAATTAAATATCTTAATTCAAGAAGTTAATTAACAGTGATTAATTCTTTAACATAGTTGGAATATTAGCCTTAAATTTTATAATTCACACATCTTGGATTTTTTCTTAAAATTGGACCCTTTTTTACCTTAAATAAGTAAACTTTTTTTTTTTGTAAACAAATAAGTAAACTTTCTAATTTAAAAAAATTACAAATGAAATTTCCAAAATGTATAACTGAAATTTTCTTAAAACTGAAATATAAGTTGCTAAATGGGAAACAATGAAACAAAGTGTATATTAAACACAATAGTTTTGTTATTCCAAATTCTATATAAGCAAAATCTTTTTTATACTCAACTATATATCATAATAATTTATAGTTATGTTCTAGGAGATTCTCTACTCTAATTAACATAGTCTTCTTCTAATATAAGATGTCGAGGATTTGGTACTTTGTTGGATTCGTTCTCCTTCTAATCCTTGCAATTGGTGTTATGGGATACTTGTGTTTGAAGCATGGTCAAGAGGAGAAGCCTGATGGTTAATTAGAATGTTATGTTTTTTTTATTCTCTTCTTCTTAATTATTAATGTAGTTTTGGGAGTAGAACCAATGTAGCTAGAAAGCTTTTACCTTACCGCAATTGTGTTGCATGCTCCATATATTATTAATTATGACGTTTTATCTTTCAAACAGTTTTAGTATGTTTTGATTTTTCTCATTAATAATTTTCTTTTGTTTTTTTGATTAGCATAATTATGTGTAACACACGACAATTGTCAGTACTCAGTACAATAAAGATGTTTTTGGTTATTATATTATTCTCTTACAAATAAGATTCTGAACTCTTGCACAACACGGAGACAAAAACCCTTGTTCAAGGAAATTGGCGAGCTTACGTACTTTGCCTAAATTAGCTGTTAAGTTTGGGAGTTAACTATGCTGTAATGAATTTTCACAAGCTATATTTGTGGAATTGAAACATCTATCTTGATTTCTTTAATATCTTTCTTTCTTCGGGTTGATTTTGAAACTCATGTTAGGAAAGTGACTTTAGCAATCCTCCAGTGACTATAGGAAGTTGTTTGAGAAAAGATGGATACGTTAGATTGCTTTAACCCATAATGTAAAGAGCTCAAAGTGTTATAGAAGTGTATTTGCAAGGAAATCTCACAAACCGACTAAAAATTTCAACATATTTTGTCTATTGTCGGACAAATCTACGCACCGCATTCTCTACTGGTTTATTCATATTGAAACATTGATCAATAATTTTTTTCTTAAAATAGTGATAAATTGGCTCTTACCATGTTAGGAGGTTCTAAATTGGTCCTGAGTATTCTTGGTAAATTTCATTCATTGGTAAATTTCATTCAGTTTTTTTTTTCTTCGGTTTTATTCATGATAATGTTATACGACTTATATCTCCGGATTATTTCTTTCAAAATTTTATTGTCGATTGCTTATGTTATTAGAATACAAGTTCGATAAGGTTGAATTTATTTTTGCTATGTTTGTAGTTTTTCTTTCGTTTTCTTTTCATAAGGTTTAGTTTCTGAGAGTTTTACGGTTTATTTTTTTACTTTTCATAATAAAAACAATCTTGGATGTTTCGAAATTTGTCCAAAAAAAAAGGATGTTTCGAAAAAGCTACATAAATTTTGATATTATATAGGTGACTTTCATAAATTTTATATTTGATCGCGCACAAATGAGCCCGAGGGGAGTGATTGTAAACGGAAATGGACAATTTTGATAATACAATAGTTTTGGGATAAATTTATAAAGATACATAAATGTAAGATACCATTACGTAAACTTATTTTTGGTTCGCCGTTTCAAAAAATATCTTTCGGCTGACAGACAAAAGAAAAGCTCACAGCAATTTTCTGTCTTCCCCCTTGATAAAAACCCTACCGCCGCGACCACCGACACCGAGAGACTTCGCCGCCGTGAAACCTCCAGTGAAGAAGCTTTGTCAAAGCGAGTTCAATGAAGAGGTGAATGCGCTTTAGAGCTCAGATTCTTTATTATCTTCCGCGGTGGTAAAATTTCATTTTAGATAATTGGATTGTTTCTCTTAAAGCTCTCTGCTTTATAAAGACGAAAACTTTGATTAATGTTTTGAGGATTGTTTAGATTTTGTGTACATTGGTTTCGTTGTTTGAATTCGGATTATCTGGTGAATTTTAAGTGTTTTAATTTTGCTATAGGAGACAGAAGAAAGTGATGATAAGCAATGAGATGGATTTGTCAGATGCAGTGATTGTAAAATCTGGGAGATTGAAATCAGTTGTGTGGAATGATTTTGATAGAGTTAGAAAAGGTGAGACTTACGTTGCAATCTGTAGGCATTGTAAGAAGAGACTTAGCGGATCGAGTGCGAGTGGGACTTCGCATTTGAGGAACCATTTGATTAGATGTAGGAGGAGAAGCAATGGTAACGGTGTAGCGCAATATTTCGTTAGGGGGAAGAAGAAAGAAGGGAAATTGAGGTAGCGAATGAGCGGAGAAAAGATGAAGAACAGCTTAGTATAGTGAATGTTAGATATGAACATGAGAGAGAGCATGATGATGCTTCTGCTGTAAGTACTGGTTTGGATCAAAGGCGGAGTCGGTTTGATCTAGCCCGGATGATTATCTTACATGGATATCCGTTAACTATGGTCGAAGATGTTGGATTCAGAATGTTTATTAGAAATTTACAGCCTTTGTTTGAACTTGTTGCGTTTGAAAGAGTTGAGTCTGATTGTATGGAGATTTACGCGAAAGAGAAGCACAAGATTTTCGAAGCGTTGGATAAGTTACCTGGAAAGATTAGTATCAGTGTTGATGTGTGGAGTGGTTCAGATGAGTTCTTGTGTTTGGCAGCACATTATATCGATGAAGCTTGGGAACTGAAAAAGAGAGTTTTAAACTTCTTTGTGGTTGATCCATCACATACTGGTGAAATGCTTGCTGAAGATATAATCACATGTTTAATGGAGTGGGATATTGACCGGAAGTTGTTTTCTATGGTGTCTAGTCATTCTCCACCGTTTGGTGAAAACGTGGCTAACAAAATCAGAGACAGGTTGTCGCAGAACAAGTTCCTCTACTGTAACGGCCAATTGTTCGACGTAAGCTGTGGAGTTAATGTCATTAACCAGATGGCTCAAGATTCCCTGCAAACATGTTGTGACATAATAAACATGGTTCGAGAGAGCATTAAATATGTCAAGAGCTCAGAATCTATTCAGGAGAGATTCAATCAATGGACTGTCGAAGCTGAAGCTGAAAGTGAAAGGAACCTATTCATCGATGACCCAGTGAGATGGGACACAACATGTACCATGCTGGAGAATGCCTTAGAGCAGAAGAGTGCGTTTTCACTCATGAATGAACATGATCCTGATTCTGTGTTATGTCCATCTGATTTGGAATGGGATAGATTAGAAACAATTGTCGAGTTCTTGAAAGTCTTTGTAGAAGTGACAAATGCCTTCACAAAGAGCAGTTGTTTACCCGCCAATATGTACTTCCCAGAGATATGCGACTTACACCTCCGGTTAATTGAATGGAGCAAGAACCCGGATGATTTCATTAGCTCTCTAGCAGCAAACATGAGAAAGAAATTCGATGATTTCTGGGATAGAAACAATATGGTTCTAGCCATTGCTACCATATTAGACCCACGGTTCAAGATGAAGCTAGTGGATTATTATTACCCTCTGTTTTATGATACCAATGCTTCAGAGTTCATTGAAGATGTTGCTGAGTTCATCAAAGCGTTGTATGATGAGCATTCTATAGGATCGCTGTTAGCATCATCAGATCAAACCCTTGACTGGCATAATCATCATCATGGCTCAAACGGTGTTCCCCATGGGAAAGAGCTTGACGATAGACTCATAGAATTTGATAGGTACATTAACGATACAACTACTACAACTGGTCAAGACTCTAAATCGGATCTTGAAAAGTATTTAGAAGAACCACTTTTTCCGCGGAATTCAGATTTCGACATACTGAACTGGTGGAAAGTACACACTCCGAGGTACCCAATCCTCTCTATGATGGCACGCAATGTTTTAGCGGTTCCAATGTCAAATGTATCATTAGAAGAAGACGCCTTTGAAACTAGTCAAAGGAGACGGGTTAGTCAAGCTTGGCGTTCGCTTAGACCGAGTACTGTGCAAGCCTTAATGTGTGCACAAGATTGGATCCAGAGCGAATTGGAAAGCTCTTGAAACTCTTGATTCATCTTATTTTGTTCAGAGTTTTTGTTTGTTTAGTTTAGATCTTAGCTACAGCTTGTTTGTTTATTGTCTGTACCTCTCCTCAACCGTTGTTCTGTCATCATTATATTCAATATAGCTAGGGCTTGTATAACAGAAGCATCATTTCTCTTTACATAGTTGACTTCAATGGAGTTCAGTGATAGAGTGGTTTCATTTTCTTGGACCATAAATCTATGTAACTCTCGTATCCAATACTCAACACAACACGACAAAATTACGGGTATTAAAGAACAATGGATAGTTTGACAAACAGACATAAAGGAATATGAAATTACAAAACGTGGTTAAGAATAGAAGCAAAAGAGAAAAAGAGCTAGTGTGTGGAATAGCAATTTTGCTTCTTTTGGTACTTACAAAAAATAATCAGGAGTCTTGCGAGTGGTTTCGGGTTCGACTTGACGTGGGGCTGGATCAAACTGAAGGAAATTCTGGTCCATGTTCTCACCAATCTCTAGAATCGCAGCCATGTTGCCACAACGGTAGCAATAATTTGGAGCACTAAATACAGTCACAACGTTCTTCTCTTGGCACCAATTATAACCTTCCATGACAAGTTGGTGAGCTCTTGAAATCAGAGAGAGTCCATTGGTGTGGTTAAACTGAGTAGCGATATCTTGTCCAAAAGTGTAGCCTGCACCACGAGGAGATATTCCCCAACCGCATCGGTCATCTGGATCAGACCATAAGAGATCACACATTGGCCCTTCATGTGGAACCTACACAACACAAAGGTTTATTATTGTCTGGTTATGTGATACAAAGTAGATTGCAGCTTTTGTAGGTTTGGATTTTGTAATTCACCTCTTGAATTCGATCTAAAGATCGGATGTTGTCAAGTGTATCTAAAGAAGGTGAAAGTCCTCCATGTAAACAGAAAACCTACAGGAAATGAAGTGTCGTAGTTTTAAGTCCAAAAGGGCAGAAGCAGATAAGAGATTTTTTAAGGTACGTGAAAAGCTAAATAGTTTACAATACCTGACTCTCGATAAGAGCAGTAAGAGGAAGATAATCAAAAAGGTCAGTGAAGTGCTTCCATACATTAGCATTTCCATATTTCCTCAAGCATTCATCATAAAATCCATACCTGAAAAAGGTAAGCAATCAGTAAAAGGCATTTTGAGAGAGGGACAATTTCAAAACAAGAATTCACAGAAGAAGCCGAGAATACAAAACATAGTAATGAAAATGCGTACACTTGAGTGATTTGCCGGCTTTCATGATTCCCTCTTAGGATTGTAAGTCTATCTCTGTATCGAACTTTCAAGGCTACCAAGAGTGAAACCGTCTCCACAGAATAATACCCTCGATCTTCAAAAGTTTAACAAATTATGTTAGTTAGCTAGATATGCAACTTTAACAGAAAGAAAAAAACAAGGTACATAGCAAGTAATCAGAACAGATGAAGCCCTCTCAAATTACATAGAATGTTATATCACCAAGGTTCAAGTAAGGAAATGACAAGGTACAAAAATGAATACCCAGAAACGTGAAACAAGGCTACAATGGAGCTTAAGCTTCATATAGGATCCCTGAGGATAATCAAAAACTGCTAAACCAAAAGTTTTGACCTTTTCAATAGCAAATTCTAACAAAGCAAAATGAAATGTAGCGCAAGTCAACAAAAATCAAAACATTTGGATATATGAACCAAAAACAATAAATCTACCATTAATGAGCAAACACTCCCAAATGAGTACAAGGTCAACAAAATCCCAAAAAAATCCCCAAATCAAGAAATCTACAAATGTAGAAAACCCTAAAAATAAAATAAAAAAGTCCAAACAATTATAGAGAGAGAAGCGAATCACTGACCTACATAATCACCCATGAAAAGATAATTAGTATCAGGAGCAGAACCACCGATCCGGAAAAGCTCGATGAGATCATAAAACTGGCCGTGGATGTCACCGCAGACGGTAACCGGACATTTAACCGGTTGAACATTATACTCCTCAACCAGAATCGTCTTCGCTTGCTCACACAACGTCTTCACCTCCGCTTCAGATAACGGTTTACACTCCATCAACTGCTCGATCTGACGATCGATATCTCCGGTCGCCGGCGGCATCTTTCTCCGATCTAAGTAAATTTAAAACAATCCGGATTCTCTTAATCTTGGATCCGGATCTTCGTCTCTCTATCTATCATCACTCCATGGATTTTTAGAAAAACAAGAAGAGAAGAAAATTGTGAACTTCGATTTCGTTGGAACTTTGTATTTTGTTTTCTGTGGAATTTTTATTATTATTCTAATATTTTTTATTTATTAAAAAGGAAAAATCTCATCGGAATTTGATTATTTATTTATTTTTTCTCCGGCAGCCGCACCGAGTCAAAGTCCATTATGGGGGACTGACACGTAGCTTTCCTTTCTTACGGCCCTTTTAGACAAGCTCGTTAATCCTTATAGATGAGTTTCATTAAATAAGCCCATACGGCCCAACCAAATAGAAAAGAGCAGCAGCAATTTCATAAGTTACTTCTTTTTTACTCATATCTTAATGGTCAAATTTTTTCGTCTGCAAATGGTGTAGTTTCGAAATAATTGGCCAGCTTTTGACGAGATCGAATCAGATAAGAGAGTTTTTACATTTTTTTCGATAGTTTTAAAATTATGCGACAAAAAAATAAATAAATGGATAATTTGACACGAAAGATTCAGAGTTAAACTTGAATTCATGTATTTTATAAACAATGTTCTTTAAGCCATCTAAGTTATCTTAAATTTGGTAAGTGGATGGAAAGTTTCTAACAAATTAAAATACTTTGTAATGTTCCTTCATTATTTCACTTATATATATATATATATGTTTCGAATTAAGTAATTATGAATAATAAATTTTAATGATAGAGCGAGATGAGGAGCCGTCATGGTATAGTTCAAATGTTAAAGCTTTAAGACTGGTCTTCAGTTGCTTTTGATTCTCGACGACTGAAACAACAAAAAAAAAGGTTGGTTGATTATTGTGTCTCTGTTAAGTTTGTCTAATGCGTTTGGTAATAATTCAAATTAAAGATATTCAAACTATTACAACTGTAAACTTTTAAAAGAAATCGATTCGTTGAACTAAAATTAAAGAAATCAACATGAAAAGATCATCACATATACATTTTTGTCTAAATTTAGAATTCTATTCCCGATAAAATAACAAAATATTGAGATATTGCTTGAACTCATATTTGAAGTATAGTTTCAGTTTTATCTAATAATATATATAGAGATGAGTTACTAATCACTTTTTCAAGAACCTTCACTTCTCATAACTAGTCATCATATATAAGTCAGTTCTCTTATTATCAATCAGTTCTCGTTAACATACCTATGTTTCGTACGTTGGGTGATGTAGTAATTTATAAGTTTATACTAGTTTTTTCATAATACAAGATAAGTAAAAATAATTTAGAAATAATAGAAAGAAATCTAAGAGAAAAAGGGTGAGTGGGTGGAGTTAACCCCACAAAAGAACAAAAGAATAAAAGATGGGAAAAAGCATAACACAAAGAAGCAATGTGGTCTCCTTTATTTAGAAGAACCATTACACACATTCTCCTTTTTTTATATATATATAAAAACTTGGGCATTTGGAGCTCATATTAGTGTATATATGCTAATTATGCAATTTAAAAAAAACCTTATGTATTCAATCTTTGTCGACATCTCTTTTTATTTCCCCACCGGAATAGATGCTTTCAGAATACATGCATCAATAATAATGGGTTCGACATATATATAATTTTTAATGATTGGATAAGTCTTTCAAAGTACAATTGTTCTTTACACAATAATAAATATCCACCTTAAATTTTGTTTTGTTGTTTAGAAACTCGTGATAAAAAAAAACATCATACTTTGTTATGTAAGTACAAGAACCATGTTGTGCAAGTGTTTTTTTTTTGTAAGCTACGATCTGAAATCGTGAATACACAAGCGTCAATTAGGTAAATAATTAAGCTTGACCTTTATTTGTTTGTGAAGACCAATAGCATGTTATTTGGAACAACAACATAGGTGTTACACATAAAGGTTGCCTGCATGTTAGTTACAAAAACGATACTCAGTTTTTGTGTGTTTTGCACATAAAAAAGTCCATAAGCATTTACCTAATTGAATAAATGTTCCTGATCATTTTGGTGCAATTACCCAATGTACATTATGAGAAAATAGATAAAGCATCTCGACCTCATTTTTTTAATAATCCTATATCAGTGTACTCATTTTTTTTTCTTTATCTCCCCCTAATGAAAACGTACATATATAAAATAAATAAATAAAGTGTAGTAGGGTAACAAATATTTTGAGCATATATAAGAGATTCGATCCCAAATGAAAGGAAAAGAGAATCTAGCAGCAGCATTACAAGAATTTGCCAACAATATATCCTTCTTTCTCTTTCTCTGCTTAATTCTTCCCTAAGCTTTCACCCTGCTTATGCTCTCCCCGGTGGTCGTCTTGAGTTCCTTGCTCTCCTGTATTAAGACAGAACACATATGTAAATTTAATATTTGAAAACCAATCAATCCTAATCATGTTTTGATACAGTTTTACATGGAATTCACACTTGGTTTTTGCGATATATCTTAAGTGGATTCACTAAAAATATAACTTGGAAATGAGGTGAAAAAAAAAAAGATAAGGAAAAAGAGAGTATTTAAAGTTGGCTAAAGCTTCCATAAAGGAAAAAAAGAAAGTTTTTTAAAGAAGCCATCTTATATAGAGTGAGTAATTTAAAAAAAAACAAAGATTGTTAACGTAAAGACTGAATAAAGCTAGCAGACAGCCTTTTGCGAGCTTCTGTGATATGTCTCACCGAATCTGAGTTAGTTAAAAGAACCAAAGTGTACATTTTTTTTGGTAAAATTGTGCTAGAATTTTATATGGTGACCCGAGATAAAACAACTTAATATAGATGCATATTAATATATCAACGAGTCAGCTTGCTTGATTCCTTCTAATACAATCCATCTAAGCATCGGATTATGACTAGGTCATGTCTCTTTTTTCTAATCCCGCGGATGAGCATGCCTCTTGGTAAGGACTAAGGAGTAGGAATGCAAGTGACCAAATGACCCACACGTAAAATTTGCACACAATGAATAGAATATGGGGTTGTAGTGAGTTTACTTACACCCATGAACTTTGGACCCAATATGAATGTGTTATGTGTTATCTCATACGTACGCGGGATAGGCCATATATTGGTACAATAAAAAAACAAACAGCAACATGCAAGAAACATATATATGTAGGCGTAAGAATTTGTTGAAAGTGAAACAAACCAAGAAATCAGTAAAAAAGAACCTGTTGTGTATAGGATCGGGTCCACGAGGCACTTTTCTTTTGCTGACTACGTAGCTAAGATCGCCGTGTCTTGATCCATCTTCATGCCCTTGTTGTATTTCCTTGGCGTGTATAAAGGAAGACTTCCCATATGAATCAGAGTTGTTCATAATTGTCGCAGCCGTAGTAATCTCTTTTGTTTTGTCCGTCGTCTCGTTGTTGTTTTGTAATACAAACGCATCGATCATAAGAAGAGTGACTAAACCGACCGTAAATAGTGTACGGATCAACAGTTGGAGACGAAGGGAACGGTGATCTCGCATGGTTTCTAGCTAGCTACCCCCTCCGTGGATTCTTTTTTTGGTTTTTTTTTTTTTTTTTTTTTGGTATTATCCTATCTTCGTTGGCTGGTTGAAATAAAGACAGATATTAACATCGATCAAAGTAGTTTATATTCGAATTTCTTGAATAGAAACTATGATAGAGAACAAAGATGAGTGGCAACAAAAGTAAGAGAAACACAAAGAGAGATAGAAAGAGAGAGAGAGAGAGAGAGAGAAGAGAGACTTATCACTTTGATGAGTTAGGATGGTTGGTGTTCTTTATAGGTTCCATGGTTTTTATTCGGTTCAATGTGGTTTGCGAACTTTACTCTAAACATGTTTAGGATATACATATAGAGACAGATAGAGGGAGAGAGAGGGAGAGAGAGAGAGAGAAACATAATTTCAGCTATGAATCTTTATATATTTCCGTGAAATATAGAAATAATGTTATCTTTAAGCATGAATCCGTAATTTTTTATGTCTGTCTTTTTTATTCCAATAATCTGAATATATTTCAAAGAACCAAAAAAAAAAATATAAGCTCCGAATGGTAACTGCGTTTTTCACTGATAGAGAAGTACGGTGCGGTTCAAATAGTAACAAAAACATATAAATATATATGTATATGCAAATATTTTGACACTGTTGCGGTACAGTTTTGTAGTGCGGTATAGTTACCATTCGGAGCCATATAATGAAATATAGAACACAGCTGATCCGAATCGTGACATTCAGAGGGAATTTCAATTTATTTTTACCAAACATTCGCTTTATATATATATATATATATGAGTATATTGCTTCTCTATAGTGTATTTTCATGCAGTTTTATACTCATATATATGATGAAATTGCACGTGCCAAAGGGTTCCCCTCGTACTTTTCTCACGTACAATTCATCTCTTTCGTATCCAAAAAGTAAAAGCTTAAGCACATAAAATGCCATGCATACCTAATATCTATTTATAAATTATTTTACATTTATACTCATTTCGTATAGTTAATTGTATTCGCATGTTGAGTTTTGCACATACATAATCTTAATATATAGTATCTACCTAGTTCCGTTCAAGCTTTATATTCCTAGCTCACACCGTATTTTTCTTTTTAATGTAATCTACTAGGCTAGTGCCACTTATTATATTAAGAGTTCCCCCTATGCAAAACATCGAATAATATTATTTGATCTGTCGAGATATTAGTAAATATACACCAACAAAAAAAAACATATTATGCGCTTAATCACCTAAACCATTCTTTAATTATGTATCTAAAGATTTGCATATTTTAAAGTTTTTCTTTTTGAAAAATAAAGATGAGAATGACAAGATTGACTAGACCCATGATTAAAATTTGTTCCTTGAGAATATATTTATATCACTCTCACATACATAGCAGCCATAGTTTATATAAATATAGGAGGAGAGGGCCAACGAAAGCATATGGCTACATTATTCATCTCGTCGATCAATTTTTTTTTTTTTGTTACGATTGTTACATGATCATGATCAATCCCACTTCAAAACAAATTACCTTTCTAAAAAGAGTTAAATGTATATTTTTGTCCTGAGAATCTTATGCCTTTGCGTTTTACTCACTAGCTTCAAGTCGAAGTAACCAAAAAAAATGGCACTTACATATTCATTTTTGTCATTTAACATATTAAATTACTAAAAAGTTATTTTTGTAAGCATTAGCTCCATTGCTAATGTGGTGACCACTACGTTACTGCCTATAGGATTCCATATCCTTCTGTTCTCTCTATTTTGTATGCCCGACTTCAACATTGTCCACGAAAATAATTCGTTGGAAGAAGAATTGTTGACTAATAGTATTGCATATCGCTAGATAGATTTTTATTTTTATTTTTTAAAATCCTGTCACTATATAACTTTTTAATTAATTGGACCAAACTAATGTGATCATTGTATTAAGATCTTAAGGTTCCTTTAGGCACCAGCACTCGACCAGTACTCTCATCCGCCATATTTTCATGGACTATCATCAATTGACTGTAAGAGATCCTCTACTTGATCCCTCATCCAACAGTATTTATATTCTTAAAGTCTTGTCTGATAACAATTTGTGTTGAATCATGGCATCGACATTGACGAACTGTGGTTTGTATCTTTAATGCTATCAATAGATTGTGTGAATTCTGTTTGGACTCAATGTTGTTTGACTCCACTGAATTGATATGCTACTTACTTCAACTGGTCTATTGCATGCCTAGTTGGACTAAACTCTTTCTACCAGCAACCGAGGTAAAAGACGAAGCAATCATACTTAATGGCAACTTCTAAGGTAAGTGAGGACACCTAATCTCTTCAATGGAATATATGTTCACTCCAAAGTTCAAAGACTGTAACCAGAGTCGTATTACGAAACCAAAACATGTGTGATACAATTAGTCCCAATTATATGAAGGCCCCTAAAGCTATTCTATACACTCAAGCATATCTCTCGTCTTTTCAACAGACAATGACAAATGTTAAATCTGTTTCTGAGTGAGAAGATGAAAGCTTACATACTGAAAAAGGTTTCTCTTAAAACCGAGAATTGCTTTGTGATCTTGCAGTTGACACCCCAAGCATCGGTACTGACTGTTTCTTTCTGATGTATATAGCGGTTCCGCTTAGCAGGAACAATCCTAGCATAATCGACTGTCCATTTATTCAAACGATCTAAACGTTAGCCCAAGTATCTACAACCTGAGTATTATATCACCTTGCTAAGATCCAAAATGAGAGAAGAAATCAAAAGAGAATTTTTTTTGTTCTGTACCTCAAATCCAAGAACTGATATCCTCTCTTCATTTGCAGATGGCACACAGCTTCTGTAAGTTTTGTAAGACTGGGACTTCACTTTCGGTACAGGCGAATCATCCAGCAGCTTCCTCGTTTTCGTCTCTTCGTCATCGGGATTCGACTGACCATTCTGTGTTTCTTCTCTTCCATCTTTCTTGTGTGTATCCACCACTTCTTTCACCTCTTTACATTTGAAAGGTATACGGTATCCAGTTTCACTACAACGATACTTCTCTTTCCTCTACATGATAAAATACTAGAAACAATGAGACTTCACAACAATTTCTTCAGATCCCTACTCCAAAATCCAATTCTCTGTATAGTCAAAATGATTAAGCTAGCTCTAAAGCCCTAAATCACCAAAATCAATCCTAATTGCGTAATCACCATCCAAATCAACACAGATCACGATATCAAAAACAGAGCAATCAAGCAAATTCTAGAAGATGTAAACCCAAATCAGAGAGGAGATTTGGAAAACCTTTTCAGAGGAATTGCAAGAAACACAAGGACCTGAAGGAGAACATGCGAATGTAATGTTACTTCCTTTTGGGGTTTCTTTGAAACCTAAAAGTAACCTACGCCCAACGCTTCTGATCTCTTCATCTCCGTCTCTGTTCGATTAAATCAAAACAAGTCAGATCGAGAAAACGAGATCCGATCAGATGAAGAAGAGTGATACAAATACGAACTGTTCATGTGCTCTGACGAGACGAGAGGGTGAAGTTGAAGCAGCGTAGATGAATATGAAGAGGACGACCAAAAAAAGCGAAGAGCTCTGAGAAGCCATTTTTGATGTTTCTTCTTCCTTCGTCTTCTCGTAGAAACTAGAAACAACAAACGCAGAAGAAGAGGATATTGTTATTTACATAAAAGCCCCGATATTACTTTGTAACTAAAAGATTACCCAAATTACATTATTAAAATATTACATTCGTGACGACGAAACGGTACCTTATGTTTATAAATACTTACAAATGTAGCCCAAATCTATTAAATTATCAAAAAGGTCCAATTTTATATTTAATTCCCTCACTGCAATTATGTCTGTTCAGTGCTCTCACAAATGGCCACAGCTACTACCTTATCATCACTATCGGTAAATTTCATCAATGCCTCACACAGATGTGTCTCTACAGCTCCTTTCTCCTCCTCTAGCTCTATCTTCCTCCGCCGCAGGATCCGCCGCCTGAATCGCTCATTTGCTTCGTACCGTAGCTCTCAGGTACGTTCTGATTATAATCCTCCCAATTCATCCAATTGTGTAATCCGAATCCAAAATTTTACTCAATCTCTTTACTCTTACTCTTAGTCGCGTAGGCGATACGATTCAAACGATCGATTCTTCGGCGGTTACGAGTACGATGTGGTTCACGATGAGGATAGTTTTAGCGACGATGATGATGATGATGAAGAAGACGAGAGAGAGAGCAGTGTTGATCTTTTGATCAGGTTCTTGAGAAGCATGTTCAAGAAGGTTTCGAAGCGAGCTAAGAAAGCATCGCGACGGATTTTGCCAGCAGCCATGTCTCCTCGACTCGTGAGTCTCACTTATTCAAAATTTGTGTCTTTATCCTCAAATTTGTAACTTTGTAGCTTTGTAATGGTTTTATGGAGTTCCTTCAGTCTCATAAGTCTCATTTTATGCTGAACATTGTTTGATTCCTCTGTTTTTTTGCTTCTATGATTTTGTAGGTGTCTTTTGCAGTAGATGGGATATTGCTATTGGGTTTACTATCCATAACAAGAGCATTTCTTGAGGTAAGATCCACATCCACTGTTTTGATTACGAGAAGTTACTCGTATCGATATGTATATAGTTTGATTCTGCATTGTGTGATTGGTGTTTTGGGGTTCTTTGTTGCAGCTGGTTTGATTAGATTAGTTAGGATTATATCATAGGATAGATTTGAACTGTATGTATTAGTCAGCTAGTTTGGGTTTCCTTGCTAAGAAGTCTTGTTTATGAGCGCTGTTGATCACCTTAAGAAACTTTGTGGACTAGACTAGCTTCAATTAGTTCAAGTTTGATGATTTGATGGACTTTTGTGGCAGGTGATATGCAATCTAGGAGGAACCGTGTTTACGGTGATTCTGCTGATCAGATTGTTCTGGGCGGCAGCTTCCTTCTTACAGACTTATGGGAGCTCTTTTGGACCAAACCCATTAACTTAAAACATCTAGTTGTAGACACATTTGAGGTGTGAGGTGCTGTAAACTGTTCATGTCTTGTAGCGTCGATTTGTAAAGGAAAATGTAAGATAATTGTGTACATATATATATCGATGGGGAGGTTTCTAGTAAAGTTTGAAGGCGATCCGCTGCTTCCTTTGCTCTATCTTGAGCAAATGTGACGTTCATATCTCTTATCCTTCAGCTTTAGCTCGCATATTCATTAAACGCTCAGGTTGAATCAGTCGAAGGATCATCCACCAGCATATGAACTAAGAATAGCATTTCGCAACACGCAATTGATTTCAAATAAAATATCACATAAGAACACCGTATATATATATCAGACTCGTACCATATTTTTAAATTAAAAAAAAAACACCAATAAAACATTGATATTTTATTTGGAATCTGATTTAGTTTTTAGGAATTTTAAATATTGAGAAATACTCCTTCCGTTGATAAGAACATAAAAATTACGAAAATATCTTAAAATAAGAAATATCATTTAATAATTAACTAAAACCAAATAAATCAATCATGAAAAAGTCTGCAGAATCTTTTTTTCTGAACACTTAATCTTAATAGTCAAAAATACTAAACAACATTAAAATCGTTATAGAAATTTGTAAAACATCTTATAAAATAATGAGACCAAAAAACTCCTTGGCCATTTTATATTATCGAATAGAGGGAGTAACTATGGTCAATCATATTGGAGTTGTGAAAGCTAACTTTATTTTGATTCTCAGCATAATCTCATTTTCAATGAATTTTCATAGGAAAACTAGAAAATATTTCAAAAGACAGATCTTGCGGGAAAAAATGAGCCTCCTTGGTTACGGTCCTATAAGGATGTATAGATATGTGGGTATTAATGTAATTAGTTATCTCTAGGTTACTTAAGTGTCTGTATATATATGTGTAAACTCACTATCAATAATAATAACATTTATCCTCTTTATGGTATCAGAGCAGTACGCTCCTTAAAACCTAAAACAAAACACACACAAAAAAAAAAAAAAAAAAAAAAAAAATTTCTTTGCCGTCTTCTACCATGGCCGCCACACTTGAAGGTTCCAACAGCAACATCGAGTCCATTCCTTTCAACACAAACAATCAAACACTTCTTCAGATCAACATGTCCAATATCACCAAACTCACTCCAACCAACTATATTGTGTGGAAATTGCAGGTTCACGCTCTTGTTGATGGTCATGGACTTGTAGGTCACCTTGATGGATCTGTTGAGATCCCTGCTGCTACAGTCACCACTAATAACGGTGTTTCTCCAAATCCGCTGTTTATTCACTGGAGTCGTCAAGACAAGCTTCTCTACAGTGCTCTTCTTGGCTCTGTTTCTCCTGCTGTTCAGTCCACACTCTCAAGAACCACAAGTGCTGCTGAGATCTGGAATACCTTAGCTGAAACTTACGCCAAACCGAGCAGAGGCCATGTTCGTCAACTAAAGGATCAGTTGGAACTGATCACTAAAGGTACTCTCACCATTGATGAGTACTTACAGAAGTTTACAACACGTTTTGATACTTTGCATAGCCTTGGAAGTCCTGTGATCCTTGATGATCAAGTCGAACTTATTCTCGATGGCCTTCCTGAAGAATACAAGCCAGTCGTTGACCAAATTGCAGCTCGTGATACGACTCCGACACTCACTCATGTTCATGAGCGTCTTCTCAATCAAGAGGCCAAACTTCTTGCTAAAGCTTCTCCTGCTGTGTTTCCAGTCACAGCAAATGTGGCTACTCAAGGTCATCGCAACAACGGTCGCTACAACAATAACAACAACAACACTAACGCTACCAACAACAACAACAATAAGAAGCAGTCTCACAATTCGTATGGTGGCTCCTCGTACAACCAAGCTGCTGTTTCTACACAAGGGTCTCAAGGTTACAAAGGCAAGTGTCAGATTTGTAACACTCAAGGTCACAGTGCACGTTGGTGTCCGCAGTTTCAGTCCCGTGCAGTGACGTATCAACCTCCAAGCAGTCCTTTCCGTCCTTGGCAGCCACGTGCGAATGTTGCTATCGGCTCCTCATACGATCCAAATCCTTGGCTCATCGATAGTGCTGCCACTCATCACATGACCTCAGACTTAGCAAATTTATCTCTCCATGAGCCGTATAACGGGGGTGATGATGTTATTGCTGCAAATGGCTCACCAATGCCGATTACTCACACTGGTTCCAAAATTCTTCCCTCATCTACACGTGATCTTTATTTAAATAAAGTTCTATGTGTTCCCGATGTTAAAAAAAATTTGATTTCGGTATATCGGCTATGTAATGCTAATCGTGTCTCCGTTGAATTCTTCCCTGCTTCCTTTCAGGTGAAGAATCTCAGTACGGGGGTTCCACTTCTTCAAGGCAGAACTAGGCAAGAAATCTATGAATGGCCAGTCTCACCAACACAAGTCACTGCTTTCACTACTTTCACAAGTTCACGTGCTTCTCTTCCGGTGTGGCACTCTCGTTTAGGACATCCGTCTTCTTCTATTTTAAACACTATGCTTTCAGCTTTTACTCTCCCTGTTTCTGGTTCCTCTCACAAACAGTTATCTTGCTCAGATTGTTCTCTTAATAAAAGTCACAAACTTCCCTTTACACAAAACACAATTCAGTCTACTCGCCCTCTTGAGTATGTTTATTCCGATGTCTGGATGTCTCCGGTTCTCTCTATTGATAATTACAAATATTATCTTCTGTTTGTTGACCATTTTACACGTTATACTTGGCTTTATCCGCTAAAGCAAAAATCTGATGTCAAGGAGGTGTTTGTTGCGTTTAAATCATTGGTGGAGAACCATTTTCAACAAAGGATTGGAACATTATTTTCAGATAATGGTGGTGAGTTCATTGCTCTTCGCAGTTTCCTAGCTACCATGGCATCTCTCACTTAACATCTCCGCCACACACACCGGAACATAATGGTTTAGCTGAACGGAAACATCGACATGTTGTTGAAACGGGCCTTACTCTTCTCTCTACGGCGTCGATTCCAACCTCCTATTGGCCTTATGCTTTCACAACAGCGGTCTACCTCATCAATCGCTTGTCGACACCAGTCCTTAGTCAACAATCTCCATTTTTCAAGCTGTTTCAAGTTCAACCAAACATCCACAAGCTCAAGATTTTTGGTTGTCTCTGCTTTCCGTGGTTAAGGCCGTATACAACTCATAAGCTTCAAAGTCATTCTCAGCCGTGTGTGTTTCTTGGATACTCTCTCACACAGAGTGCCTATCATTGTCTTCATGTTGCGACTGGTCGTGTCTATACATCGAGACATGTTCAATTTGATGAATCGATCTTCCCGTTTAGCACCAACAAGAAAGCTTCGATTGTTTCTTGTGATGATACACCACCAGCTGTGTCACGGCTCGTCACTACGATCTCTCTGCCACCACCGTCTGTGCAACCGTCGAGTGGAACCCCCAGCTCAGACCTTCACCGTGACGCTACGTCTCCACTGCCATCCTCCCCGTCAACGCAGGTATCGCCTCTAAACTCTCACGCTTCCTCTTCTTCTTCTCCATCTCATTTTTCTGAGCCCACTGCTCCCCA